CAGGAAGCAAGAACTCAAGTATGTTGCAAAGCCCCTTTAGCTGGCCTTTCCTCATGCCATCAACTCAATATTGCATTTTTGTACATATCTACTTTGAAAATAACCAGTCTGTTCACAGCAGAACTGTGAGTGAAACAGAGAGAAGTTCTAGAGATTTTTATTTTCTCCTTTTAAGAGTTCACTCCAGATATAGGAAAGAGTACATGTGCAACTTCTTTTGTAGTCAGCAAGTGGTTTAATTACACCTTTGGCAGCTATCGGATAAAGCATTGACAAAGGTATCATTGGGTTAATCTGAAAGCAGTGCAAATGAACTTGGCAGAGTAGCTGAAATTTAGCTTTCAGTTCTTTTGTCATGAGGAGTGAAGACTTAGCTTTTCCAACTGTCAATTCAAAAAAACATGGCTGAGGTTTGACTTCTCTATTAGGATAAAAAGGCGTTTACAAAAATGCTTAAAAGAAAATGGGGCTTGGAGGGGCTTCAACTGTCAGGAAAGGAAGAAGTCAGGAACTAGGAGTAGGAACTAGGAGACAACAGCTTTCAGACAGATTTCTCTGCTTTCCAGCATCCTTTTTTTTTTTTTTTTTCTCCTTAAAGACATCATTCACTAGTTTGAGACAAAAAATTGGGTCTTATTGTAAGTATCAATTGCAGGTCTAAGTTGGCTTAGACTGCTGAGCTCCTAATTGGAGTAAGAATCCTTCTAATCCATTTTAACAGGTTCTGTCAGCAGCAAGCACAGATTCTACAGAAGTGGCTAGAAATGAGCACGCAGCCAGAGGACCAAGATGGTGTACAAGGGGTTCAGGAAGAATTGGACCAGGTGTGTAAATAGCTAACAAATTGAAGTTACTTAAGTGATTATCACTATGCTATGCATTTAGCCTAAAGGCTGATGGTAGTTATGAGGAATTGCAGTCAGCTGTTATTAAAATGCCAAGAAAAGGGAAACTGGTTATCAGAAGTGGGCTGTCAAGCAACACAGACTGCTGTGTAGATGCATCTTCCTGTTTGTTCAGAAATTTAACTCCAGCTCCAATAGACCTTTCTAAGGCTATTTCCAAGCTACACAGCAGCCTTTAGCAAATTCAGTCTCAAACTTTTTCCGCAATTTCTCAGGACAAAGTAGCTAAACTGCAGTGACTGCATCTGCATTGCTCCCAGTCTGCCAGTTCATACAGCCATGTGTGTGGGTACTGCACTGTTGCCTCTCAAGCTAGCCAGTACTTGGCTGTTCCCAAGTGACACAATCCTGTCACTTAATGGTTCTTAAGTGGGATAATATAAAGGGTGCTAGAGCTCATTCACTCTTCCTCTGTGAAAAAAACTAAATGCTGTCTTGCTGTACAAACAACTCATGCAATTGTCTTCACTTTCAGTTGCAGGCAAGGATCAACACTCTTGCCAAAGCACAACTAAAAGAGAGGCATCATGTGCAGAACCTGGTTGCCCGCCTGCGTGACATCCAGATTGCTCTGAATATATGATGCATCTGAACCAGTTTTCCAGTTCGTGGGTAGGACTTTTTGCCCCTTTCATAGCAGTGGAGGATGGAAGATGTGTATGTTCTCTTACATCTATGTATGGCATTTTTATTTTATAAATTAAATATTTTTGCTTGGTTTATTTTGTTACTACAGCTGGTTAAAAACAAAACTGGAGCTAAACATACCTGGTGCTGCACTCAGTACCTAGTTTAGGTTACCCTGGCATTTCAGAAAGATAAGCAACACTGATAAGACTCTTTATTTCAAAATGTTTGCAATTAAATGAGTTAGTGTCAGTAAGTCAAGTCATACACTTTGACATACAAAAATACCGTGCTACTGATACAGTTGAAGAATTAAATGGATTCTCCATGCAGGAGAAAGTCACAGCGTTATCAGTACCCTCTAGGAACTTTGCTTTCACATCCAGGGTGCAGTACTGGCCACTGCATAACAAGTAATGTTTGTTATTCAGCTAGCTCTGCACAGTATTAAGACCATCACAAAAACAGCCACGGGCATGCTGAATCCTCTCCTCCTTCTTAGATTTCTAATAAAACAAACATCAGGTAACCCCCACTCCATTACTAGGCTAACAGTAACCTTCAGATACTGTGGATGATGATGCTGAGTAGGAAGAAATTAAAGCTTAAAGTTGCTTTGGCTGTGTCTGGATGTCATAGGCCCCAGTGGAAAAGTGGGGAAAGATTCAGTTGTCTTTCATGCACTGGAACAAATCTTCTTTCTACTGTTAACATGACAGTGAAGTTTAGCCAAAAGAACTGGTCATAGCTTTATCCTCTTGGGGTTGATGTTTGCCTTAGTCTTTTCTCACTCTCAATGGTTTAAAAAAGTGCACATTTCTATAACCTGTATATAGTAAAATACTGCTGCAGGAGTAACTTGCTAATGCCAAGAAGTTTAACAAGATAGGTGGCTGACAGCCACTTCAAGCTTTCAAACTCCTCCCTGTGTAAAGTAAGGAAACATTGGCTCTCGGAGCCAAATGAATTTTCTCCTGCTTGTCACCCAAACAGCCACCATCATGAGTGTCATGGCTGGGCTACATCACTTACTTAAAGGTGGTTTATCATCCCTTCTTTCCTGATGACAAGCTAAGCATATAGGACTTGGCAAACTGGACATTGATACAACAAAACAATAATCTATTTTCTGCAGTGCCTACAGAGAAGATAAGATTTTTTTTTCAGGAAATCAGAGCTGGTCAAAGCCTACCATCTCCCTGAAGTAGCAGAAAAAACACCCAAGGCTCAAGCAGGGAAGTAATATGAGAAATCTTTCAGAGAGCAGAAAGGCAGGATTTATAAGCATATCTGCTTCAACAAGCTCTGGACAGGAAAGTCAGTTCTAAATGTCTGAATGTCTGGACTTGAAACAGTTTATTCTCTAAAAACAATTGATACATTGCTGTAAAACTCAATTCCTCCTCTTCACTTTGGCACCAGTTTCTGTCAGTGCCATATAGTGCCACATTCAGCAGACCCAAGGTGTTAGACTTTTAACTCTTCTTGACGTGAAGTAACAGTTAGCTGTAGGATGAAGCTTCAGCATAGAGCTTTCAGCTCCCAACACATTCCTAGTGGTAAGTATGAGGGCAGAAGTCAGAGCAGGTGTGGGGTTTTTTTATATTTTGAATAAGATGACAGTGTTGCCAGTCCATTAGAGGAGGGCCAGGTTGGCACCTGGGAGGCAACCTGGGATTGCTTCAAAGATCCACAATATTTTTATACACAGTCAGTGCACAGGGCATTTCACTCCATGCAATAAAAATTGGTCCTGAAGTACCTGAAATTATTCTGTAAGTAGAGGGATTAATTCTTCAAGAATTTAGTGACAATGCAACAATGAAGATGATACACAGCAGAATGTAAAAGCCTATTTTGACTGCCCTATCATTGCATCACACAGGAAAAATAACCCCCCATGTCTTCCAACCCTTAATCCAAGAGGTGAAGTTAACTGCCTCTCATACAAACAAAATCTTTAAGGCCTGGAATAGCAAAATAAAACCATGGAATAGGACACATAGCTTTGTCTGCTAATTTTTTTTTTAAAGGAAAATCCCAGAATGACCAGTTTCATCATATGGAATGTAGACAGTGTTTTCAGGTTTAAAATACAGTGCAAAGTCCATTTTTAAAGGGACAATGTCAGGTAAAAGAATGAAAGTTGTCTGACAGCAGAAAACCTTTAGGAGTGTAATTCATTGTACTGGTGCTGTCTGTTGTACATTTTGCTTAGTTTGGCCTGTGAAGCCATACTAGCCCATTTCACTATTTGGCGCTCTATGCATTCACAGGCTGCCTTTATATAAAAACTTAAGCAGAGTGTCTTAGAATAAAATAAATATGGGAACACATTCTTTACTCAAGGTCTGAAAAACAAATATTGCAGAGATAAGGTACAAGGTCTGACTCAGCCTGTCACTGTCCCTTTAAATACAGCTAATCTCTACCTCCACTGTTCCCATTGCACCTGCACAGCCTAGGAAGGCTTAAAAGGGACTTAGAGGCTCAAAGAACATAATTATCCTGTGGCACATTGAGAGGAGAACATGAAAGACTACAGGCACAGGGTGGGACAGAAACCTCCACGGTCAACATCTTTAAAGGCAGCTGTACCTGATACATATATGGTCATTCAAAATTTTCTCTGCATTCAGCAGCATGTAAATATAGACCAAATATTCTCAAGTTTAACATAGCAATGACATCTTCTGTTTTCCTCACCCAGGTCCTGCTGAGTGATACAGACTTGTTTGTTATGTGAAACACTCAGTGGTGTGGTAAGAGTCCCTTTGGATAGAAAATTTTCTTGCTGAGAGAGTTTCTATAGAGAGCCCAGTGCTTCTCCAAAGCGGATTTTCTGTCCGGCTTTGAGGTGGAATTTGAAGTCCTTGGGTGCCTCAAAGATTAGTACAATCGTAGAGCCCAAGTTAAATTCCCCTAAATGTTCTCCTTTCCTCATGGGGATTCCCTCCTTGTTGTTATTAGAGATGAAGCTGAAGTCATTGTAGGAACCTTTAGAGTAACGTGGACTGTTGGTATGCAAGTCCTGTACAAAGAAGGAAGAAACTGTTATTTGAGGATTTCAGTACTCTCTACTCATTAGCACAGCTTTAGATTGTGGATATCCAGGCATCTTCAATACAGGAACATACTTTGCATTTCAAAAGTGCAATAGAATTATTAAGAAAAAAATAGTCTATACTGGAGCTGCCTCCCTTTCAATCAGTCTTAGAACATATTAAGTCAGTGTGGAACATCAATATTGTTAAACACCATAATTTCAGGGTAATAAGGCTTTTTACTTTTTTTTTTGTAATTTTCTTTTATCATACTTTACCAACCATCAAAACCAGAAAGCTGCCTACTACTGTCTTGCTCACCTGGTCAAAGTAGATGCGGATGGAGCCCACATTTGTTGCTCCTACAGCTGTTAAAGAGAAAAAGCCATGTTTCCAGTCACCTGTAAGGACAACTCGTTCATTGTGGCAGAACAGTTCCTTGATCCAGCGAGCAACCCCAGGATTCACAGACATCAGAGAGCCTACAATAGTGAGAAGATATTCAAGCTAAGTTATCTGTTTTGTATCAGCACTGTAATGCCATCTAAATGGTTAACTGACATCTGATATGCCCTGAAAAGACATCACTGTAAGAGCTAGTCCCTAGTCTCAGCCCTGATAGATAGAATTGAAAGAAGCCTTCTAATAAGCTCATAAGATCCATCTAACAAAAGGCTACAGGCTACTAAAAGGAAGCTGAAGAAACCTTTTACAGCTGAGGAACAGGTTTCATTGGTTAACTATCCAGTGCACGAGAGCAATACATGAGAGCAGCCCCTTCCAGTTCTCTTTGCTAAATGCATAAAAGTGGTTACTGAGACTGTGGCTGAAAAACAAGTAGCTAGCTAGCTAGAGCTGACCAGGAAATACTGTGAGTCAGTTAAAAAATAAACTTTCTTACAGAAGAACCTCAAAGATTTAAACCCCTACATAGTCCTTGAAGTAATTTAGTAAGGTATATTCACTCCACACATTTTTAGCAATAAAATGCATCCGCTCTGGCACGCTGAATCTGAGAGTAGCATGTCACTAAAACTCCTTTGCTTCAATCTGGAACTTCACAGCTTTCTCAAGCCTTGCTGTGGCTAGTCACTGTCTCTCCCTCATGGTGTTTGAAACCAAATCCAAGTACTTAGGTTTTTGCTAGATACCAAGAAGTAAAACATTTTTGTTATCTGCTGAACTACAGTATGATGATTTGCAAAGAGGAGGACAAAAACATCTGATCCCAGCTCCAGTAGTGTAACTGTTTAGTTGCATCTTCTTTGCCAAGCACAGGAAAAAAGGTCGTATTTTAGGCTACTGTTTGCTCTGATCTACAGAGCTATCTCTATTTCAGGTGCAAACTGAACAAACCGTGTTTGGGAACAAGTCAGGTCAGCATGCATCCACAGTTATTTCAAATAATTAAGCCAGCTTGAATACCATACTACTGTTTTCAACATTTATGTGTGATTTGTTCTGGTAAACTATACTACCATAAAATTCATTACCATTTGTGACAATCCCTTTTCTCCAATTATCTCTCATGTGACTGTACAACTGCTCCACTGGCATGTATCGTTCAGCAATGGCTCACGCCAGTGCTTCCCTCCATAGCTGCTCTGTGTTTGTTTTCTAGGAACAGAAACCTACCTGGGAAATGACGTCGGTGTGACACTCTCCAGTCAGTGGGTGAGTGGAAGCAGTGATAATCCCCTGGTGCAAGGTAGATTACACAATGATAGAGCTCATTCCCCTGCTTTGTGACTAGTTGTTGCTGAAAAGAGTTACCAGGCGGGGCTGCAAAGAAACCATGGCAAGAAAGGGGTTAATGGCATTCTTCATGCAGCCTTCTACTGAACAGTCTACATTAGAATCAGTGGTAAAAGCAGAGGACTAAATGCAGTCCATATGTATTGTTGGGACTACAAAAAAACCCCAACCCACCAACCAACCACCCACTTTGTCCAGGAATCCAATATTTCAAAGTGTTCCTTCCCTTTACAACAAAATTAGATCCTGTATTGTTTTAATAATTTTTGAGACTTTGCCCTTCCCTAAACAGAAGAAACTGAAATCCAGTGAAATAGAATTTTTCTTAAAGCTACCCTTTTAAAGAACAGAATTTCTAAAGAGTCCCTAAGTTTTTTATAAAACACATTAGTTGCATTTGTGCTCATGTTGAAAATAACCCTACTGTTTGCAGAACTCAGTCTCTCCCACCCCCTCGCCAGTTTAGCAAAATGTGTTTGCTTTCATCTAAACTCAAGGCCTTGGAGACAGTGCTTGAGGTGCAGCAGAGCAGTAATAGCGCAAGTCATTAGAAGTACAGTGCTTGAGCATAAATCTTGTTACAGAACAGCTTATACAATTTTTGCTAACCATGTGCTTGGGCACGTTTCAGTCTGACAGCAGGAGTGCTACTGCCTCATTATAGTGTGGATCTTGGGAGTCAATTGTAATTGTCAATATAACCATATAAAAAGGAACCAAGCAATTAAATTCAGATAATCAGAATGAACCCAGCAAGACAGGATAAAGCTGCCAGTGAGAAGGAGAAGCATTAGAACAACAAGTTTATCCCCAAATAAAACAAAACTCAGACCTGTTTTTGTTCTTGACAATGTGAGAAAGAAAAGAAAGAAGTAATCTTTTTTCTCTTGATCTCTGAGAACACTGAAAGGGCAGAGCAGAATAAATGCAGAACTCACCCTGGGTAAAATGCAGTTCCTCTGTGCAGATGCGAGGTCCCAAGAAAGATTCCAGAGAATAAGTTACCCCTTTTACTTGCTCTACTTCACAGTTTTTTACCTGTCCAAAATTAAGGATCTTTCCATCAGAGGGACTAATCTATAGCAAAGAGGGAGGGGGGGGGGGAAAAAAGCACGTATTAGGAATTAATTCCTGCCTCATAAAGCAGCCATGTTCCTTTGAGGGGGTGTGGAGAAGTGGTAGGATAGCATAAAGCCTTGATTTCCTTTTACTCACTACACTGTGCAAACAGCAGACTGGCCGCGCTTGTGGTTTCAGCTTCCTGCGGAAGAATTCGCTGAGGTTTCTATAGTGATGCAGATCTTCAACAGCTGCCTCCTTCATGTTCACTCCAAACGTCCAGATGTACAGGCTGTAAACAGGCTTCCGGAGCCATGTAGGCAGCTCCACCTGGTTCAGGCGACCCCAGGCTCGTGACAGCAGCCGAGTTGGTACAGATTTGTACAGAGCAACCTAAAGAAAGAGGAATTACACCACGTCATTCAGTTCTTCCTACTGATGGCCTTCTCTTACTTTTCCCCATAAGACAGAAAGGATCAAACTGTTCCTGCTAACCACTCTCTTGAATTCAGTGGGTTACACCACACACAGAGTAGCCTTTAAGTCAGAAAAAAAATTAACATTGCACGTCATCCTCATTCCCTCCCATTGTGACGGGAGCAGATGAGGGACAGGATGAAACTTACTATAACCTTATACTGAAGCCAGAAACTCCACTCCCCTGCAGGCTAAAGCTCCACATTCAAGTTACTGGAAACTGCCCAGTGTGAGGCTTACAGAAAAGACATTTCACATTCTAGTCGAACACTTACGTTGTGAATAACCAAGTGAAAATTGACAGAAAAATAATTTCTCAGTGTTTGATGACGTGCTTCTCAGATGCATCTACTAACAAGGGCGTTTTCCACATCCCAGTATTATCCTGCTCTAATGATACTTGTACAATTGAACAAACATACCCGTGTGGATACAGCTACACCGGTATAAACTTACACCAGCCTTCCTCCTCTCGCAACAACAGAAGTTGCTAATCACAAGAGTATAAAGTGCCTTTTTTCCTGTAGAAATAGACCTCTGGACTTACACCAAAGCGTAAGTCTGAGTAGCAAGAAAAACAAATGAAACAATGCTGGTAAGAGGTATATGCTGTCATATGTAACCGGACAGATGACAGTGTCTTCCTGTTGGCAATTCCAGCAGGTAACTCTGCTGGGGGTTGTGGTACTTAATGTCAGCCAAAAAGCTCGTATGACCATGCTGTAATCAGGGGGGTGGACCAAGGGAACTGAACCCTCTGAAACTGGTTTTGCAAAGACATAGTGATCTGCTGAATCTGCTACAATTTTTTTGAACAATGCAGCTCAGCTACATTTAACTCCCAAGTAAAAGTTGGGGTTTTTTTCTTTTTCTTAGTGAGAGTCATCATTTATTCTCAATATTAATCATATTCTTCATAATAAAGTCTTACAAATTACAGCCATAAACACAAACAGAAGCACACACTGGCTGAGAGCCTGTCCATCCTATCAAATACAGCGAATTAATTGAGATTTCACTCACAAATCACCATCCTACATCACATTAAAATACAGTGATATTTCAGAAAGGAAAGACCAACCTAATCTTACTTCAGATAAAAACTTATAAATCAACAGCACCTTAGGTCATCTAAGTTGAAGTACTGAAGGAAAAATGTTTTGCCATTTTATTTGACCTGCCCTATACAGTGTTAATTTCTAAAAAAAAATTTTGCTCAGTTTTCACAAACACTGAGAATATGCAGATACAATTGTAAAATCACAAAAATCCCTTCTCTCCAAAAGAACCTGGTTTTCAAGTTGATGGGACCAAACAGAACAGCTGGTCAATGAAATAGTCTTAAGAACAGCAATTTTGTTGCAGTTCTCAATCAAAAATTTGTGTGGTTGTTGCATTCTGAAATGGCATGATTTGTGTGGAGAATAACCATGTGCAAGGCTTCCTACACTGTGCTCTCAGCAGTCAGAGCAGAGATTTGCATATAATTTGGACAGGCCGGATTACAAATGCTCAAAGAACTTGAAGAACAAACCCTCTGTACAAAAACGACAGAAAGCAAGAGACCATTTCAGAGTGGCCAGGAAAGTGAACTGGAGAAGCAGTTTGGTCTGCCTCATCCTAGCCCTGATACTGTGAGGTGACTGAACTAATTCTGTTGATTTTCCTGGGTAGACCTTTGACCATTAGAGGACGAAGAAATTCTCTGCTACTGAAAAAATCACCTGTCTGTGAAGCAATTAGTCAACATAACTATTAACAGTAAAAACTAAAGGGAAACGTGAATTGCATCTCTCTGCTTTCACACTGGTGATCATCAGCCTGTCCTGTATTAAGGATCTCTCCACCCCACGCTGCTGCCAGCTCCCTCGGGTATAAAACAGCTACTACACACGAAGCGCAAGAGAGACCTGCTCACACTTACCCTGCTCATAGGCCTCCATCCCACTCTGGTCAGGGGTTTAAGAGCACCGAAAGGCAGAAGATAATAGAGAATAGTCAGAGGCCAAGAACGGAGTTTCAGAGCAGGCCTAGACATACAGCTTAGCTGGCCCAACCTTCGCCTCAGGGCCAGCTGGGGAAATTGCAACCTGAAAGATTACATACACAACACAAGAGGGTCAGCCATCTCAGCTTCAGAACCACCAGCTTCTGACAGCTGGGGATGATTTATTCCTGCTCATCTTTACTTAAACATCTATTCTGCAATTCCTTACTCCTTTATTTTGGTCAGTTCTTCCCCTTCCCAAAACAGAAGACCAGTTTAAAAAAAGAAAAAAAAAAAAATTTCCTCTATCCAAAAAATGGTTTTCACTCTCACAGGTCACATTTTATGAATGACACTCAAAAATTAAAGGCAAAATCACCTGCAGGTGACATTTGAAAGTAAAGTCACAGCAGGTTCATCCAACTAACAAAATAACATGATAGTTTACAGTGGAAATAACAGAGAGAAAGGTTCTTCTTCCAAATATCAGAAGGTTACATCCCCAGAAAATGTTTCTTGTGACTGTTCCAGCTGTTGGATACCCGAAGTGGACAGCAAACAATATTGTGAAAGCTAGGAATCTGTGATGTTGGGACTTTAATAAGAACTGTATGGAAGTGCAATTTTAAGGAAAAAGTAGATACTCTGATGAAAGAAATCCTGAAACCTAATAAACTGAAGTCCCTCAAAAGGTTCACGTGTTGAAGGCATCTTGACTAGATTGTGCCTGAGGCTGTATTTTTGTATCACAAAAGATGTTGGAATCAAGTGTACCTGTTAGTCATTCGAGAAACAAACACTGACTTGAGAAACAACAGGAGTGGCACTCCTGAGTTAATTAATACAAATAACAAATAACTGATTCCAAAAATCATCTCTCCAGGTCTTAAAACCTTCACTGGGTATCCTCGTTCTGAACGGAGAACATGTGGACAAAGCTGACACTGCTCGTGCTGCAAGATATTCTAGTCTCTGTAGCCCAATAACCAACTCCTTTGCCTCATAACCAAGTGCATCTATGATTTTTTTTGTCGGACATCTGTGTGATGGAAACTCATTTTGCACAAATGGCCATGGCCAGAAGTTGAACTTGTAACTCTCAGAGAGAAAAACTGCTCATCTTATTAGCAGAGGACATTCATGGGCCGAAGCTCAGACCCTTGCAGGAGGATGAGGGGCCCTTCAGGTCCCCATTTATTCTTTGGCTTCTACTCATGAAGAAACAATTTCTGGCATTTCCAAGGTCACATTATCAAATGAAAGTCTGCCTACCTGAGGGCAAAATATTCAAGTCTTCTGGGCACTGACTTAAATCCTGGCTAAGAGATAGTTCTCCCCACACTGCTGAAGGCAGTATGCCTGCAGCCAAGATACAGCTACATGTACACACAAACTCAAAGTGGTACGCTCTGGCTGCTCCGAACAGCCCTCTCTCTTACTGGACTATATGATATGAAGGATGAACTATAAAATACTGTGTATGTCTTTCCAAAGTGGAAAGAAGCTGGGAAATTAAAAGGAAATTTTCTTGCCAACATGTTCTTTTCAAAACTCAGATCAGAATTAAAATATCATGCAGGCAGGTACAGCTGTCACCACTTTGGGATCCAAGATGGTGCTTTTGCCTCAGAGGTGTTTTTTCTGCAGTGAACACAACTTCTTCCTCCCTGAGAATTAATAAATAAAAACCAGAGAATGATCACTGCATCACAATGCAAGGGGAAAAAAAAAAACCAAAACACCCTGAGGAGATGAAGTGCTGTCTCAGCAGAGGCAAAGCCAGCTCTCTCAGCAGGAGGTGGGCCTGAGTGGGCCTGACTCAACAGGGGAATACGAAGAGACACTTCACATCCTTCCTCCCATCCCAACCACCCATCAGTCCGCAGGGGCTGGCAGGGCCAGGAGCCGGGTTGCCAGCAGGAGTGCAGAGGTCCCGCTCCCCCTCCCGCTGCTCTCCCCCCTTCACTGCAGTCGCTCATGGACCAATCCCTGCAGAGCTGCATCCTGGCAGCTTGCTCAGAGCCCTCGGGCTTCTCACTGCCTTGGCCTGGTTTCAGAGTAGTCCCTCACTTAATTTTTCCATTCTCCTACTGATCTGAGTGTAGAAAGGGAAGGAATGAAAGCCTCCTCATTCCCCTTGTCATATAACAGCATGCCCTTCTCTGCCAATTCAATGCATAAGGAGCTTTATAGTAATTAGGCCAAACAAAAGCTTTGCAGATGGCTGTTGTTCCTTCTGCCCAGAAACCCTCCCACCCTCCCTCCCTCGCTTCTCCCTTCAGTCACCATTCCTGCAAAGCACAAAATTCTGAACAGTACCTGAAACGAGTTCTCCTATTTGGTGTACCACCGGCAGAGCCAGCCGGGCCTGGACTCTCCAGTTGTGGGTGCTGGTCCGCGGCACAGCTGCTGCTGCCGCCGTTCCCTGAACGCAGCCTCCGGACATGAATTTTAACTTTGCGGAGGTTGTAGCAAGAGGGTGGAGGGTTAGATAAAGCTTTATAGCATCTCACCATTTCCCTGTGTGCAGATCTGGTCCCTGCAGGGTGTTTGACTGACACATCGTCAGGATGATGGTTGGTTGCAAGGCTCAGTCTTTTCCTCTACCTCTCTTTCCTTTGCTTGCTCCGGCACCAGAGAGAGGACACGGCGTCACAGATCCTAATTCCCCGCTGGTTTGTCTCTGGATTCCCCCTCTGTTTCCCACTTGAATCTCTGCTACGAGGGTTGCAGCTATTGCAAACAAACAGGCATTGTGTCATATTTCAACATCCCACTACAAAGCCGACTCTGCACAGGATAAAAACAAGCTGTCCATATAAGCAGTCCTTGCTTCTCACTAGTCAGGGTGGCCATTGAAACTCAACTCTCCAAAAAACACCCTGCAGTCTCAGGCTGCTGGGCAGCGATGCACTACAGTCAGCTGAGCAGCCAGCTGGCCTCGCACAGCTAACCCCAGAGCCAGTCTGAATCCGAGGCTGGGAGGAGGAGGAGTGGGGTGGAAAAGAGGAGGAGATAATTCCCAGCTTCAATTCTGCAGTGCAGCAGCTGCTGCTGAAAGAATTCTGAACTGCTGGGCACCAAAATACCTCTCCTGCTCTTAATGTCCAGCTTGGAAAGAAGACAACAGAAAGGAAAGGAACGTCTTTCTATTTTACAACCAAAACACCAACATCCATCTCCTGCAGTCTCTTTCCATCTCAAAAGACTCACAAAGGGAGCAGGTAAAGGACATTCTTCTACAAATACCCAGATACATAATGAAGTAAGCCAGTTTTAGGGCCAGCTTGAGAATTGGATATAAAAGAAGTGTTAACGTGTCGATTATGCGGCTCTCGGTACTGTCACAGTTTTTAGGTCCTAAAATACAAAACATGAGTAAAGGAAGCTGTTTTGGTTTTGTTGCTTTTTAAAGACAAAAAGCTGCAGTATTTCTATCTAAACATTCTCAATAAACAGAGGGAAGTTTCCCTCTTTGACCCTGCAGACCACATCTCCAACATAGATTTTCTGCATCTCCTGTTGAGTGGATTTGGATTGAAACTAGACCCCCGGTTCAAGAAGTGGAAATCAGCTGGCTACATCTCACCTCAAGATTAAACCAAATACCCAGAACAGTTTAGGGGCTAACTCTCTAGTGGCTATCCATTTCACTTACACTTCCTCTTAAAGTCTGGGGTTAAAAAAAAAAAAGAAAAATTTCCTTGTTTCCAAAGCGCTCCAAAACACCACGAAAACTGCGTGCCTCTCAGAGTAGATCAAAGAGAGCACTGGCGCTCTGATGAGAGGGAAAGGGTTGTATTGCATTATGGATAAGGCAGGAGAAGAAGGGGAGGGTGGCAGCAGGAAAAGCTAGAATTAACTAGCTAATGGCATCCCACTCAGGCTTCAAAAGGAAAATATTCTAGCAAGAATCGTGTATTTTGGTTGGCGTTCAACTCCAAATATTACAGCTATTGCCTAGAAATGCCTGTGGAGTCCCTGCATTATTCTTTTTTCTGGAAGAAAACTGCTATATGGTATTCTATACCTCATGCAATTCCGAGACCTGTGTGTATGTTGTTGTTTAAGCTGAATCTTAACAATTGCATATTAAAAAAATCCAGCTAATTGAAACAAGGTAAATTTCAGATAGACTGAAAGCACTCAAAACATACTCCTTCCTCCCTGAGCCCTGTGCCAACGTTTTTCGGTTTTCTATTTAAAATATCGTTCAGTCTTTGGCTGGCACAAGAAACTCCTACACAACAAAAATGAAGCCATCTGTGTAGTAAAGTGATGAAAGCAGTTACCCAAATCCCATCAAAATTCAAGGAAAAACAACGAGGAGCACAGGGGAGCCATTTCTCTCTATGTGCCAGGAACATGAGAAATTACCACCACCAAATACTAAGTCTTAAACAGAAACAAGCTAAATTGCCGACATCATTTCAAAAGGCACTTCTCATCAGACCAAGATGAAAAACATTTTCACACTGAACGCGCGTCTTCACAAAACTGGAGAGTTTGTTCATTTGGTGCTGGCAAGGCCAGGCAGGGGCAGGCAGAGCACCCCAACCCTCAGCCTGCCTTCACGTGGGCACCTTGCAGCACCCGGCCATGCCCAGCTCCTGCAGGCCAGGCTGGCACCCTGCTCCTGGGTCTAATCTCCTCCTCTGAGGACCTTCACCTATGCATGACTGCAGAAAGACAACAGAGCAAACAGAAGTCTTATCTACATTTTCTTCAGCCCTCTCCCTTAAGGGAGAAAACCCCACAAGTTTTTTCGGTAGAAATTCAATCTTATCCCCCAAAACATTTTCAAGAAATTACTACATTTTAGACTGTGAACAAGCCTGATTCTATGAAAGCAAGTTAAATAGCTCACCTGCTCCCTAAAAACAAATGGACATTGAAATGAAAAATCCACCCCCGCCCCGAGTTTACCTACTTTCCATGGGGAAAGGAACAAGAACTGGTGATCAACCAGCTCACGACAGAGGAACTCATATAATGGCATCTCAATAGCTGGACTTCTTGTGATGCAGGCAGTGCCATAAAGCCTGTGTTATTAGCTTAGACGAGAATCTTATGATTGTTGGTTTGTAGGAGGTTGGACATCAGTACCAGACTCCCCCCACCTGTCTAAACTCACCCAGAATCCATGTTAGGTAAATAAAAGAAGCAGTTACCAGCAGGTATAAATCCCTAGAGAATTATTATCTAGTAGAGAACTGCTAATCTGCCAGCTATGCAACACCATTCTGCTCTGTCAGCTCAAATAAGCATCAAATCCAGTGACTCCATTTAATTACTTGTCATTAGTATCTCAAGCCCTTCCCTCAAGTTTTAAAAAACAATACAGCAAGGCATTTACAAGAAAGACTAATGTGCAACTGAACTTCAAACCTGCAGTCTCAGTTTTAAATCGCAAGCATGAATCATTAGGCTTGGAATGCGCTAGTCGAGTGCTCAAAGCCCTCTGGACGAACTTTCTACATTTGGTAACAGAACTACTGTTTAAAAAATGCACCTTATGCATCCAAATGCTGTGGTCTATTTTGAAATGCCAGCAAAAATAAGGTCTTGCAATCGGGGGAGGTACTCAGTGACCATTTATTAAAGGTTCCATTCCTTTCCCAGCAGCGTCTATTTAATTTCAGACACGTAATCCCTGCTCCCACCCAACCTTCTCCAGAGCCAGCCCAGCAAAGAGCAACGCTGGATGCTCCACACCCAGTCAGGAGCTCCTGAGCACAACAAAACCGCTCTCACGCTGCTGGGGAAACGCGACACAGAGTTGGTGCCTGCCAAGGACACGTGATTTTTGAGTAGCGCGTTCACTTCCAGCTTGGTCGCAGAAGAGTTGGCCAACTGTACCGCTTTCTGCACATTTACTGGGGCTGGCTGGTGAAACGTACCATGCTCTGCTTTATCCACCCTTAATTTCTAAAATTCTTTACTTTTCATATGAAGATTTTCTTAATTTATTAAGGAGAAACTTTTTATCATTTTCCTTTAATTTTACATTGCTGCTACAGTTCCATTGGGGGGGGAGGAAAGTGGTATTTTAAGCTAGCCATAAAAGGTTGGGTGGTTTTTTTAAACTTAAACCCAAATTCTGTGCAAAGAGCCTGTTACGTACTCTCAAAGATCTCTTCTGTGAAGCAAGGACAAACAGTTTTATTTACTTCTGCAAACAGACATGAAAATTTATGACACCTTAAATACACTGTAGTATTTTACTATTTTGTAGTAATGTTTTCCATTGCATGTTAAAAAAAAATCCCATATATCTTAGCTTAAGATACCTGTAAAGCAAGCTCTCTGTACGGGTTCTCTAACGGAAGCACAAACCACGTTAACATCTTCCCAGCCGAGCAGAACCTGGCGGAAGCTGAACAAAGCTCCCGGCGCTGCCCGGCCCCACCTGCCCGCCCCGCGGGGGCACTCAGCCACGGTACTCTGACCTCTGATAGCGCTGCTCCAAGAGATTCGTTTTGTTTAAATCTGCTAAGAGATTACTCATGAGAGAGTCGAGACTTTGGAACATCTCTCCTGAAACTTACAACAAGCCAGAGACCAACGATTAATTACCCCGCGGTCGCCAGACCTCGCACATCAGCCCCGAAGCCCTTACCTGATGCGGGCC